TTTTCAAATTGATTTTCCAGAGTTGCACCAATTTACGGCACCACCATTAAACTGTGAGGAAATCCCTTTCAGTAAACTGACTTTGGCATTGACTTTTGACATTTAAAAACAAAATTCTTTATTTAATAAGTTAAAAAATATATCTTTGAGCTTAAAAATTAAGCAACTACTGGGATTTGTTACCAGATGTAGGTCTCCCCAAATAAGGGCCACGCTGTGTAATACGAAGGAAGTCAAGTCAATGAAAATACTGCTCATATTTCAAAGAATCATCTTCATTTATTCAACAAGTGCAGTTATTTAACTAATAAAGGCTGAGCCCCAAGAAAAACATTCCTGGTTACTCTGTAAACTTTATCTCAAATCTTTTGTTTAAATAAGCCTACGAAGAGCAAATGAGAGAATTGGATTTAATAGTTTGAAATGTTTTCCCTGATAATACTGGGGTCTTTTTTTTGCCGCATCCCAGAAAGAATGAAAAATAGATCTTTCCTAGGATACCTGTGGATTGAGGGTAGACTATTACCCATATACCCCATAACTACCCTCCTAGAAGCCTGACAGTCAATAATAATCATAATGACAGAAGCAACAAGACAATTATCTAGTCCAGTATTTTTAAAATAGTAGTTGCATCTCATTAGTGGATCCAGCAATCACTTTAGTAGGTTTTCACTAGAGTTTTTAACAGGAGACTACGCCAGAAAATAGTGTAAAATAAGCAAGTGCATTGCATGTAATAAGCCTAAGAATTACTTTGTAAAATTTTTGTTTGCACTGCATGTGTGTGTGTGTTGGTGTAAAGTTGATTTTCTGTGGTTTGCAGTCTGAAAGGTTGAAAAAACCCTGATCTAATCTACCTCATTTGAAAGGTGAGTCTGAGTGGCGTTAAAAAATGCACAAGGAAAGAGCTGGTTAATGACAAAACTGGGATGAGAACTCTGTTCCCCAATTCCGGGGCCAGGGTCTGTTCCATCAGGGGGTTTGCTAGAGGTCAGTCTCTGGGAGAGAAATAGCAACAGAGTTAGGCTTAGTAGATGCTTTTATGGAACAGAAGGAGCAGTTGGACGTTGGCACAAGTGTGGGATCAGTAGCTTTGGGGTCCCTATGTATCTTTTAAGAAAAGCCAAATTAAATTATTGAACAGTGGGTACAGTACACATTTAGGCTACCCAATCTCTCGCTTGCCCTTATTTCTCTAAAATAACAACCAAGTGAGGCCTAACAGTATTTGAGTTGAGTGTTTATCTCCCACCTAAGCTAGTTGTACCAGGCAGAACATGTGGAGAGTAAGATGGCTGATGGCCACCTAGGCTATTGCCAGAGGGCAAGCTGATACAGGCTGGGCCTTGCTAAAAGGGTAGAAGAAACATATTTTGACACTGAGAAGTAGAACATTATTTCAGCTTAAATTATGGTGGCCTATTGGGAAACCAAGGCAGCAACCAGGCCTGTCTGATCCACACAGGAGCTGAGTGGTCCTCACCATCAGCACTAAAGACGGAGTCGATGGGGCAACCCTTGTGCCATACTCATTCATTCCTTTAGCATCGCTCCAGCATCTCCTGAGGGCCAAATGCTGTGACATCAAGTGCACTGTGAGGACTGGGCTCTGCCCAACAAGTCTTTCCCCATAACAGGTGGGCCGATGGCCTGCAAGGGGGGGATCTGAGGTCTATTAAAAAGCATATGTATCCCTGCAGTTGGGTCAAGTTTGTTACTTTAATCGAAGGATGTTAAGGGATATAGTACCAGATTTCCTCATCACAGTAGAATCTGATGGACAGTAAGAGAGGGAGTCTAACCTGGAAACTTGATGAGGGCTGAGGGAAGGACTTCAGGGAGAGGAAGAGAGGAAGCTGTGCCTTCCCCACAGCGTTGATGACAGCCCAGAGCTTCTCAGACGCGACAATGCCCAGGGATCCTCCGGGGAGCTTGTGAAGATGCTGGTTCTGGTGCAGGAGGTCGGGTGGGGCCTGAGATTCTGATTTCTGACAGGCTGCTGGATGATGTCCCCTATCCAAGAGTCACACTTGGAAAGCAAGGCTTTCTGCCTGTTGCTGCCAGATATTTCTGTACTTCAGTATTCTTTGCCAAAAAGACAAAGTAGAATCCAACTTTGTCTGTGTTTGACCCTCTCTCTGCTTCTGCTTTGAAAAATGTCATTTTTGGTGCATAAACATGAATAATATTTAAACAGACAAATTTGAGATTTGTCATCAAGCAGAAAGTATAGAAGTTGAGGTTTGGAATTTTATTAGCAGGAGGTTAATAGGTATTATGTGTTTATTTTCAAGACAGCAGTCATTAATTATGAATGTCACGATCTTATCTCCAAAATAATGGAATGTGACTCTGGGTAAGAGTCTGTCTGTGTTGATCAATGTTAATGAGGATGACAGAGGAAGGAAAATATCTTGTCCTTTTAAACATGCAGTCATTTAAAAGAGTGTAAGGGACTTTTCATCATGGCCATGTTTTATTCACACTTGTCTGCTGTAGCTATTTAATCAAAATATTAATCTAATCTTTCTGACATGAGAAAATATACTAAATTTCCTAGTGGTTTTCCAGACTGCCTTCTTCCCACCCCAACCTAACCAAGGCAAGTTTTATTCTAAATTCTTTTAAAATATGTGCTGAGAACAAAATAAAGAAGCTACTTTGGGAAATGCAAGCACTTAAATAAATTTTAAAGAATTAAATGCAAATCAAAACAGTAGGAAGAAATATCACATAATAAATACCATTTTTCTTGAATATTCCACACATATAAGCAAAGTTCTCAAGTTTGGCAGCAGGAAAAGAAGAATCTTGACTTGTACAGAGTCCTTGGGGGTAAAGACTCATGCTATTTACAGGAAAGCTGTGCCGAATTTAATCTTAGTTGGGAAACCTTGGTACAATTCTTGATTTAGATCATCATATAATTATTATGTGACATCAGGGCAAAAGAACAGAACTTTTTTCCTTCTGAAAATGCACATGTTTTTGTTAATGTTGTTAAAGAGGAAATATTTTCTATGTGCCTATCCAATTAAACTTCTTTAAAAGTATTAGTTGTGTCTAATATTTTTCCTTATTAAAAAATACTCATCGACTTGGGTAACTTTTTCTCATTAGTTTGTATTTAGTTTTCTATTTGCCACCATAACAGCTTACCACAAGTTTAGCAGCTTAATGGACATAAGCGTATTGTCTTAGAGCTCTGTAGGTCAGAAGTCTGCCATGGGCCTCCCTAGGCTAAAGTCAAGGCGCTGACCGTTTCTTTCCATGGGGCTGGGCAGGAGCTGTTTCCTCGCCTTCCAGCTTCTGGAGACCATCCGTGTGTCTTAGCCCCTTCCTCCACCCTCAGAGGGCAAAGGCGTGGAGTCCTCACATCACACCAGGCCAGCCAACTCTCTGCCTCCCTCTGTCATTGCTAAAGGACCCTTGTGATGACATTGGGCCCACCAGCATAATTCAGGATACTCTTCTGATTTCCCAGTTTAAGGTCAGCTGATCAGCAGCCCTAATTCCCTTTTGCCACGGAAACATAACATATTGTCAAGCTCCAGGGATTAGGATATGGACTTCTTGGAGTGTATGTTTGGGGGAGGGGAGGCATTATTCTGCCTACCGCAGTATGTCTTATCAATATTTAAGGTCTTATAAGAAAGGATATTGCAGTATGAATGCAGATATCATTTGCATAGTGCCATTACATCAAAATTATGCTGATTGAATTTCCCGCTGGTGAAAATTGTCATGGCTCTTAGGAAGTGAAGTGTTCCTCCTCTAGTTGCATTTACGTTGATTCCCATCTACTTTTCCAGTAATGGAAATCTTGTGATATAACTACTCTGTGTGATTAAATGGACCCTTCGACCTCTGGGACCTCTCCAAAATTTATGGAGATGGAGAGGGTTATTTGAAGTAGCTTAGCACGGCAATTTTGCTCTCCCAGGGGTTATTTGGCAATGTCTGAAGACATTTTTTATTATCGCAGTTCGGGGATATGTATTACTGGCATCTAGTGGGTGGAGGCCAGGGGTGCTGCTAAACATCATACAATGCACAGGACAGGACCTGCAACAAAGAATTATCCAGCACAAAGTGTCAATCAATGATGTCAAGTTGGAGAAAACTTGGCTTAGCAAGGTGACAGCCTAAATTTGCCTCCCCCTTTTTAAGGCCAATTCTTTATGTTTCAAAGATGAATTAGATAAAATACTAATTTGATAACAGGTCAGTAACAGCATTTGGTCAAAGAATAACTGAAAGAGAGAGAGAAGACAAGTGGGTCACTGTACACCAATCTTCTGGGGAAAAACTCAAAGCTCCAAACCTACTGCTTGGGAGAGACAATTCATCACCTTCACCGGGCGATCAGGAATCACGTCTGGTTTCTCTCTGTCCCCAGTTCCCAGCACAGTGCTTGTCCATATCAAATGCTCAAGAAGTATTTTAACAAATAAAAAGTGTAGTGTGTTGAAGGATTTGTTTATGAGTTCCATATGCAGTGAACAAGCTGTCTGCCTTCTCTATGTCTAAAACAAGAGCGACCCTGGAATTGCTCTCACTTATTAGCACTAAGAACCTAAAGAAGCCTGTTTCCTGGGCTTTCACTTAAATAGAAGCCATCTGGAAAATCCCTAAAAAAATTTAACATTAGGATTGAAAGAAAATTTAATTAAAGGCCATTGAGAGACCCCAAATCCCCAACTTTATCTTCTGCATTATGGTTGTTTTTTTTCACACTGTAGTATTTCTTAAGCTGTACTTTTCAGGCTTGATCACACACTATGAAAAAATCAACAGATTCTTCCTACTGGTGGCCAGGCCAGGCCCAGAACCACCAACTATTCACACCATAGGCCTTTGGGGTCCTGTACCAGTGATGACAAATCTGATGTGAAATTTACTATACTGAAAGAAAATCACTTGGAAGGTTAATTCATGAAATTGACATCCTTCTTTCTTGACTCTCATTTGTGCTTTTTTCTTTCTCAACATTGCAGGTGTCCCTGGCTCCATGCCCAATGCATCATGGACTGGTAACCTCAGAGCCATCAAGTGGATTGACATGGAAGACAAGCACGGAGGCTGCCACGGTGAGGCATGCGTTTCGTACTGTGAGGCCACACGGCTTATGGCTGTGGGCAGGAAAGCAGTTGTGGAGCACAGGGCTCTCACGGTATATTTAGACTGATTTGTGAGTTTTCAAAAGAGTACTAGAGGCTACCCTTGAAAAGTAAATTTAAACATTTCACAGACATTCTCCAGGTAGTTTCTGCTTTCTTATTATTGTTTATTTCCCTTTCTGTTCTTTTTGAGAGGACAGTGGTTAGGAGAGTGGTCTGGGGGAGTAGTGATGTCACGCTCTGACCACGAGCAAACCGGACGCCAATCCCACAAGTCAGCCTCTGCTCCCTCCACAGACAGCTTCCAGTTTGGAGGGGTTTGCGCAGGCCTGGCATGGTGGCGGGTGACACTAATGGGAGATTTCTCTTCCGGTGGAGAACTTGAAATCCTAAGTAGTCTCATTTCTATTGAACCTTATGAAGAAGCGTTTTTATCAGTCCTGCATACATTTTATTCAAATTATTGCCTGGTACATGGTGGACATGTTTGCTAGGGCTAACACAGCAAAGACATTTTACACGTAACCACAGACTGGGTGGCTTACACAACTAAATTTATTTCCTCATGTCCTGGAAGCTGGGAGTCCAAGATCAAAGTGTCATCAGGTTTGGTTTCTTCAGAGGTCTCTCTCCTTGGCTGGTAGATGGCTGTCTTCTCCCCGTGTCCTCACATGGTCTTCCCTCTGTGTGTATCTGTGTCCTAATCTCTTCTTATAAGGACACCAATCATACTGGATTAGGGCCTACTTATATGACCTCATTTTAACTTAATTACCTCTTTAAATATAGCCACAGTCTGAGGTACTGGAGGTTAAGACTTCAACATGTGAATTTGCAGGGTACACAACTCAGCCCATAATAGCACGCAATGAATATGTATTCAGTGAGTGAGTGATTAAGTGAACGCATGANTTGCAGGGTACACAACTCAACCCATAATAGCACGCAATGAATATGTATTCAGTGAGTGAGTGATTAAGTGAACGTTATGAGTGAAGATGCAATATGACTTTTTTCCCTATTATAACAAGGCTTCGCCTCCACTCTCCTGTTCAATCACAGCTTCCCGTATCAGTTCATTTTGTCCACACCTAACTGTAGAGTGCTGCTTTTCCACACCTCTCCATCACACTCAACCTCCTTCTGTGTCTTTCTCTTGAGAGCCCCCCCCACTGTGGATGGCAACACCCTCACGTCACTGTACAGGAATTTCAATCTATTCTTTAGTACATTCATATCTTTACCTTAATCAGCCCACATTTTCTCCAGGGGACAGCTCACGCCACCTGCCTGCATTCTCACGGTGGCCCTGCCCTTCTGCTGGAAGGAGGAGGGTGTTTTGCTCTTGGAGCTCCTGGGTCTTCTTTAGAAAACGGACCAGCACCATCAGTCAGGGGCCCAATATTTGGCTATGCTGTCTCCTCCACATCCTTCTGTAATGTCTACCGTCCCCCCTCTAGGACTGCGGCAGGCATCCTCTGATCTGCTTCTCCACCCTCTCCAGCTGCAGCACTTGAGGACATCAACATCCCCAACAGGGACCCATGTGACATCATTCCTTTGCAGCTCTAGCCCTCCCCCACCACAGAAGCTCCCATTCCGTTGTACAGCAGCCACCCCACCCCCAAGTGGAGCCTTACCTCAGTCTCCTTGTCATCACCGCTATCCAGGCCCTGTCCCGGTAGAGAAGGTAAAGGTTAGTCAGGTTCGCATTTCTGTAGGAACCTTTTCTGATCACGTGAAGGTGGGGGCCATGAAAGTAGCCCCTAGCCAGGAACCTACTGGGTACAAAGCTTGGGTAGCCCAAGCCTCTCTCAGACAAACGTCTCATTTTTCTTCTCTTGGTCCCTGTTATGCCAATGAACACCTGAAAGCATGAAAATCCTTTGTCTCCTAGCTCTGGCTACTGTGGCTCAGTTGGTTGGAACATTGTCCCACACACCAGAAGGTAGCAGGTTCGATTCTCAGTCAGGGCACATACCAAGGTTTTGGGTTCGATCCCCAGTTGGGAGCACATGCGGGAGGCAACCGATTGATGTTTCTCCCTCACACTGATGTTTCTCTCTCCCCTCCTCTCTCTAGAATCAATTAAAAAAAATTTGTCCCCCAAACCACTATAGAGGAAAAAGAAAAAGACATAATTCAGAGGAAGTAGACCATTGCATGCCAACTCAGCAAGTCAGTAACGCGATCTAGACCATTCCCCTCGGCTGTAATAGGATTTGTTCCAACCCCATGTATGTTACCTGCTTTACAAGCCCTCTTAGCACCTAGAATCACAGAGCACCATTCTACCTCTACGGTCTTGAACTTAGAGCTCTCATCTCTGCTTACAATCTCTTTGCCACACTACTAATTTCATTCACCAATTTACATACTATATGTATTTACTTTCTCCCCAGAACAGAATAAAAGCTCTACGAGGGCTAGGATTTTTGACCAAATTGTCCATTGCTACATCCCCACACCTGAAATATGTTGTTGTTGTCATCATCGTTGCTGTTTTCAACGTGTTTCCTTTTTTAAAATTGGGATTTCCGGAGGTTCAACTGTTCCAGCTTCTCCCTTTTCCTGGTTTCCTTCTGAGGACCCCGTGCCCAGCCTGTGCACTCTGTCAGCCGTCCCACGCTGTCTTCACTAGCGTCTGAGGCTCCCTTGCCATTTGGCCCTGCCAGGCTGATTCCTCCGCTTAGTCGCGGCCAGCGTCTGCTTTGGGCCGCCTGCGTGTCCCTGCACAGCGTCGCTGGAGAATGGTCAGGGGACCTGCCCTCCAGCTGCAGCCGGGCGCTCCCGGCTGCCACTTACTCTTTTATTTACCTCACTATCTTCCCTGCCTGCGCCACTTTAGCTTCCCTGCTCACCTCTAAGCTCTCAATCTCGGGCTAAAACAGCCTTTCCACTTTAAAAAAAATGACAATTTCAACTCTAGGGAGAACTTTTGAGACATTTCATCAAAACCTCCTTATCAATTCCTTTCTCGTGGCACCCCTTCCCTCCATCGGAGGGTATTTTGGACACACTCACATTCCTAGAG